AACAATTTTTCTCTCTATTCCTTGTAACACCGTTTTAGATACCTGAAAACCACTATCATATCTCCTCTCTGTCTTCTCTTTTCTAAACTAAACAAGCTCAATTCTTTCAGTCTTTCCCCCAGGCAAGAATCCTTTGTTCAACACCTCCCCCCCAACTTCATGGAAAAATATCAGGTTGAAGATGTATCCCAATACCAGGTGGTATGGTCATAAGTCTTTCTATAATCAACTGCAGTTTAGGTGTACAGGGCAAACATGAGCATTCACAGGCCATTGGTTTGAGTACTGAGTTATTAAATATCACTAATGTTCCTTGTTAGCACACACTGAATTATAAACAGATCCATACTTCATATTTCTAACTTCACATACAAGAATGATATATACACAAAAAGAGGATATATAGCTTGAGTAGATTGTAACTCTAAAACTGACGTTACATTACCCTTTCTGCACACAGAATCTTCAAGTTATGCATATTCATAAGCCAATTTTCATAAGGCATGGGAGGACTGTGACAACTGATCCTTGAATAAAAGGGCTGTTAAAAATATCTAGATCCCTCTTCGGAGTTCACACTCTAATGCTTTGGAAATTCTCACGTGGACCTGGTCAACATCATATAAAACACAGATCAGGTCCCTACAGTTAGCATCTATTTTTTAAACACTGAATGTTTCTTTTACAGTATTTCTTTGTTTTTTTTAAATGTTTAAAATATTTGTAAAAAAACCAAACTTTCTGTGTGCTGAAGAACTACTTTTCAGAGTGACACTGAGATCCTCCTGAAATCATGCATGTAGCTTTCTGCATTGAACATTGCATTCAATTGTGTTCTAGTTCTAAAGAATGTCAGATGTTGGGAACTGTAAACATATCTGCTACATATTATGTCAAATATTCCCCTTTGCTCTGGGAAAAAATACTGAACTGTATCTTCCAAAACAATCTGACTGCTGGATGAACTATTAATGCTGGGCATCTCTTAGCCAACAACGCCATTTGTCAGCTCAGGCATTCAATTGAGCAACGTGAACAATTTCATTTTCTGCATGTCATTAATATCCTGATTTTACTGCAGTAAGGACTTGTAAACCATCTCAGTCAAGTTTTGTGAATCAGAAGAGTCCCTGAAAAACATAGCTTTAAATTTCTGTCTAAAACTATTTATGACAAATCTCTTCCTATGAGGAGATGCAATTTTCCTATAAAAGCACTATTCACAATTATACATAAAACATGCGTCAATGTAATGAGATTACCATAACCACTAATGCAAAAGATAACTTGTTGTGAGACATTCATTTCAATCAGATGTCTGTCTCCTGTTTTGATTTACTGGAAAACTGGTTGGCAATCCAGGTGGAAAGTGGACAGTTGTTTTTTTCCAATATTTTGGAAACAGAAATACTGACAAATGAAACTGTTTTCACTGAGCCTTACACAGACAGATGGAACTTCACTAAGAAAAATGATGTTCCCATGCAATGATCTTTGTTATACTTTGTGGAAGGGAGAGAGGAAGCAGGAGAATGCAATGGAAAGGAAACACCATTTCCACCTTAATGCTAGGCAATTCAAATCAAGGACCTGAAGGGGAGACACCCATCTCCTCTTGGATTTTGAAGTGGTTAATCATTATCATGATATTATGTTTGGTAATATGAGGGAGTCATAAGAGAGAATTACAGGAAGCCCTTGCTATTCGTGGTGGCACCACCATGAATGGCAAAATTCATGAATACTGGGAGTTGAGGCAGAGAGCTCCCCGCAGCTTCTGAGCTCACCACGAGCACTGGGAACCATGGGAGAATTAACCATGGGGACCAGGAGCTGGGGTGAGTTCCCCACAGCTCCCGCTCCCCACCTAGGCCAGGAGACTCCTTCAAATAAGTGGAACCACAAATAGCGATTCCGTGAATCATGAGGGTCTCCTGTACACTGTGTCACACTCAAGAGTTTAGCTAGAAAGCTGTTAACTTAGATCAGTGGTTCTCAAATTTTTTGGCCCATGGCCCACCCTGCATAACTGAAACCTTTCCATGGATCACCAGCCAACCACCCAGGATGACAAAATGCCTTCGCTTGCCTCTAAATACCTTAAATACTAAATTATTCAAAATTATTCATTAGGGTCCTGGAGCATAAAAATGTAAATATGCAACTATAACATAAGTAAGGGGTGGGCTATAATTTTTTACGGGGGGAGAGGGGGACACTCCAAGATTTTGGAAAGTGGTTGAGGGACAAACTCTTCCATGATATTAATGGAGGAGATGCAGGGTCTGGGATGGAAGCTGGATGCAGAGGAGAGCTTGGGGTAAGGGATTGGGATGCGGGAATGAGACTGGAGTCTGGGAAGGAATTTGGGTGAAGGAGGTGGTTGAGATCTAGGGCAGGAGACTGGAATGCAGGGGTTTGAGATGTGACCTAGGGTGGAAGGGAATTATAATCGGGGGCAGGAGATTGGGGTGCCAGAGCTGGGAAGGGGTTATGGGTGCAAGAGGGGGACAGAGGGTTTGGGTAGGGAGGGGCTCGGATGCGAGATGCAGGATGTAGCCAAGAGACTTACCAACCAGCAGCCAAACCAGCCTGCCTGCCTGCAGAGCTCAGGCTTGCTGAGCTTAAAATGTTTCCCGGCCAGCTTGCCTGGCCATGTGCTTCACTGAATAACTGGGTGTAGCCAGACATGAACCCCATCTTGTTTTTCCCCTCCCCCCCCAGAGAGCAAGAGAAAGGCAGTCAGCCTTTGATGCCCTGGGAATGCAGGTGTGCTGCCTGTCCCTGACTCTACCATAAACAGAAACCAGACAGTAAATGGGCTAGCTGACGACCCGGGACCTCCCGTGGCCCTGAAGGCTAGTACCAATAGTTGACACGCCTGCACTCTCCCAGGAGAGGAATCTTAGCCCATCACATACCAGAGGTGCCCATTGTCTGCATTTTCCCAGGTGTGAATTATGCTTTGCACCCTTCATGGGAAACTTGGTGTTCAAAGCCATTTTTCCTAATTGGCCACTTGAGACCAGGAAGAAGCCTACGTGACCCAAGGGGTATAAAGAGGGGTTTAGTAGCCCACCCCATTTGAGCTCCAATC